GGGAAACAGAGACTCTTTCTATTATGGTAAGTGTGTAGTAGGGTTATACAGAAGGTCTCTAGGAACACAGCCGAGAGAGTACGTGGTTTTACGCTGGAGGAAATGGGAATCATGAAAAATATGTCCACAGAGACAGTGACATGACTTGAATCTGAAAGGATGTTATAATATGGAAAAGATGGAGAAGGGTGAATGTAACAGGGTTTCATGATGGATAGTAGCTGAAACTTAGCAGGGGAAAGTAGGTTGTTTATTTGGAGCAGATATAGGAACAAAGGAGAATCATTTTGTTTGTTTTTATTAATAGAAAAATTATAAATAACACCCAAGCTTATGTAGATTAGACTTCTTTTCTAGCATTCTTAGACTTAATATTCCCAGCCACCTAGGGGAAAAATTTGAGGAAAATCTCTCCAAAATCTATAAAATAATTCTTAGAGACTTAAATTTAAAAGGAGATGGCAAGTTGTTGAGCAAAATCAAAATAATAATGTCCAGGCCTAGACGTTTGGTAAATGTACAGCTATTCTGAATATGTTTGTGACCTTTCTTGGCTTGAACCTAAAAATGTGTTAGTTTTTACATTGAGAGGTTGTTTCAGCAGCATCTTGAGACTGCTTGTGGGTTCAGATCCTTCAATTCCAGACTTGACTTTGAACTAATTCAGGACCCTCTGAGTCAAAAACAGCAATGCGACTGTAGGAATGGGACACCCATGCTTGGAGGTGATGGGATGGCTGAGGCCAGTGAGGGTGTTCATTATTCTGTGGCTCTATAGTTATAGGTAGTATTTGCTTTCTATTTTTCTACAATTGTAGTTATGTGGTTATCAGTGGAGCAGTAGATAAAAAGGGCATGGACAGTATCAGCTCAGCTATTTCTTAGCTTCATTCCCCATTTTTCAAGCCAAAGCTGAGTTTCTGCCTGCATTTCTAATGAGTTGACTTCCTTGAACAGTTCATACCAATCATCAGAGTTTTTTGCTTCTTGGTTTTTGGAGACCTTCTGAGAATCATTTCAATCTGAAAAAAAAAAGTGGGGAGAGGAGAGGGCATGACTGTATTTAACCACAGCTGTAAATTGCAGGATGCCAGCCTATCCAATTTCAAATACTGAATGATTTGTCAATAGGCGCCATCGATAGTATTGAGTATCTTTATATAATGGTGTATAGTATTCTAATCGTGGAATTCTTTAATTCTTTCTTTAAGTATTTACAACTGCAAGATTTTACTATGAGACATTTAAAAAACATTTGAATAAATGGAGAGCCTGGAGGGAATGCCACATTGTCATTCTTCATAAATTTAGTTGAAATGTTTAATGCAACACCAGTAAAAACTGAGACTAAACAGGTGAGGATAAGCAGTACATTTTTGAAAAAGAAGAACAGCAAAGGAGACTTGCACTACTAGAAACATTAAAATCTATCTTAAAGCTGGAATAACTAAAACTAGGGCATTGTGAAAGAACAGAAAAATAAGATAATAAACAGACTATAATTCTGGAATCAGAACCTGGTAGGTACAAGCTCTCTGACGGCTTTATACACCTACCTTGATCAGCCATTGGATGAGGATGCCACCAGAAGAGCATAATCTTGGACAAGGTAACTCTGCAGCTGAGACAGTCTCCAAAGGGGCTGATACCTGAAAGCTATCTGCTGGTGATATTCCCACAGTTGGGGCAACAAGAGTTTCCTGGAAGGGGCAGTTGAGTGGCTTATCTTGTGTTCATTGCAACTTCCAAATTCAATTGTTTGTGTATCTTTATCCTATACACCTAAATGGTATTGATTTTAACTTATTTCAGCTCCTATTCTGGGAAAAAGACAGAAACTATGTCATTCTTTGGGCCCTTGTGGTGGGACAAGACCAGAGTCCCAGAAGAGGTGCCACTCCAAAGGTTTTGGTAAAGTGCTTATTCTTCCCCAGCAGTAGGCTGTTGCTGAGTGGCAAACTGGTGGTCTAATGAAAAACCTTGGGTTGGAGAGGTAGCGAAGGTAGAAACGAGAGTTGGATTACGTGTGTCAGGTATCTGCTTCTGTTCCAGGTGTTTAATTCACGCTTGTGCTGATGTTTAAAGTTAGAAGATTCCTGTCCATTTGTCTTGCCTTCTGTGGGCAGGGTCACATGCAGGATGATAGGCTTTGAGGAGGGGGAAGATACCTAAATTTGCTCCCCTAGTTCCTAAGGATGCCAGCTACCTCCCACCCTAGCCTTTGAGAACATGAGTCATAGTTCACATCTGATTGTCTGGGTCCAGAGAGAGGCAGTTACTGTCCCATTCTTATATAAGCACTGCTATTTTGATTCATATAACTTGATGGTAGAGGTGGAGGCAGTTCATGGAATCCTCAAAGCCCATCCATGCGTCTGGACAAGAGTATGCATGCACCATAATCCTCAGAAAGGAGACATGATGGGAGTCTGCTGGATTCTTCTGAGGAAATTTTCCTCACACTATAAAAGGGACATATCACAAATGGTACATTTATACCATTTCTGCCTCTGAACATTGTTATTTGTCTGCATGTGGTGTATGGAGTAGCAGTGGCCCTCTTGAAACCAGGAGAGAAGCCAAGCTAAGGGAATGAGAGAGGAGGGTGGAAAGATCCCCAGTCATTTGTGTCACACTGTTGAGCAGCTGAATAAAACAGAGCCAACTCCTTGTCTTGAAGCTTAATTCTAATGGGAGCAGATAGACAACATACACATATATTAGTAAAATATACTACGTAGCGTATTAGAAGGTGGTAAATACAATGGAATAATGGAATAAAATAAAGCAGGGAAGAAGATGAAGAATGCTGGGGGAGGGATGGTTGCATTTTTTTAAAGGATGAGCAAGGCAGGCTTCTCTGAGAAGGTAACTAACATTTGCTCAAGGACCCAACAGAGACAAAGGATGAGCAGTAGGGAGAGTAGTTGGAAATGAGTTCAAAGGAGTATTAGCCTGTTGCCAAAGACATTTGGCTTTTACTCTGAGTGACATGGAAATCTTTGGAGGTTTGTGAGGAGGGGGGTGATGTGATCTGACCTATATTAAAAAAGGAAATGCTCACAATAGAGGCAGTGAAAGTGAAGTTTAAAAAAAAATGTTACCTGAACTAGAACATGATACTGGGTAATCCAGGTAGAAGACCAAAAATTGTACTTATCTTGAAAACTCGCACCTGAAGCCATTTTACTTATCCTAATACGAATACAAAGAAAGAGCTTACTTGGGGGTAATTATTAAATAACATTCTTTCCAAAAGTGTCATAGAATTTTCTTAGCAGCACATCTATACAAGACTCTACAATATACGTACATTCAGCAAATCATTTGAGATATAAAAGAGTGAATTTGGTTTAGGGGTTGTGAAGTGGCTTTTATTACTAAAGAGAAATTCTCCTAAATGTCAGTCCATAGTGCTATGTAGTGTGGAAAAATACTTTGCTTTTTAAAATAAATGCATAAAACTATCTTATGTTATTCTTGAATAAAGTTTTTCATTTACTAAATAGTGTCCTTCGGCCTCTTGTTTTGGGGCTTTTTTTGCTGTGAATCTGTGGCTCTAATAGAGTCAGTGTTCTGTACTTACTGGTGGTAAATTCTATGAACCATAGTATGACATGTTGGACCAGCTCTTGTGAAATCACAGCTCGGTGTCTGACTCTCCATTACATGAACACACACATTACTCATTTACACTGGAACAGTAAGTATACCTTTAACACCAAATAAGGCATTTTCTAGGTCAATTTTTCTCTCCAGGTTATTCATGGATTTCTACCTAGGGTCAATACTTTTCATTGAATCTAACTAAGAATCCAATCTCTTGTGGACCAGCTCTTGAGGTTTAGACAGAAATCCTTTTAGATCAAGAATGGATACTTCCTATGAGGATTAATCCTGCATGCTCCGTGATGAGCTGACATTGACTAGGACTGAAGTAAGATTTATTTTTGGAAGCAGGATTTTTAAGTTAATTCTTTTGAATTCTCAGCAAATTCCAAAGAATAAGCATTCTTAGCCTTCTGGACTTCACCAAGTGAAGCAAGAGTGGAGATGGCTGAGGAAGGCAACGAGAGACCTGCACTTATGGAGTGCCTTCTGTGTGCCAGTGGGTGTCACGCGAGCCTCACATCATAAATTGGGTAGAATTAACTTCAATTTCACAAGAGAATGCTGAGGCTCAAAGAGGATGTGCGACTTGCTCAAAGTCATTTTGCAAATAAGTGTGGAAATGAAATTGGTACCTGTGTCTGTGTGACCTCAATGCCCGTGCTCTCTCTTCAAAGGGGCTGAGTGGTGAAGGGAGAAGTAAACATTATACCTTCCTCAGATGAGGTTTGTTTCTCCAGGGTCTCATTTCTGAAGCTATTCTTTTCATCAGCTCTATTTGGACCTTACTAATCTTGTGCAAAGTAGAACACTGAGGTCTTTCTTGTCACTTTATAGCTTTATTACTGTGCATTTTGTATGGAGTTTTAAATGTAGTGACTGTTAACTGTTAACCAAGCTCCCAAATTACAATAAGATCACATTTTATTTCTATTTTAATAAAATGGACTTTTAAAATATACTTTAAAATACTTTATAACATAAAGATTTCTTCCTGAAATTATGAAACATCAATTTACAGTTAAAATCACAAAGCAAGTGCTGATATGTAAAGAGTATATAACATGATATGAATCATGATTTATTATTTGTACCTAAGGATCTAAAAAGTAGTTGTCATTATTGATTTATAAAAGGAGAAATGATAGAGGAACATTTAGCCAGCTCTGTGACAACATTGGAATTTTTATTGCAGAACTATTGTGTTGATTCTATATCATTTCTTAGATGGTCTCATGACTACTTAAAATTATCCTGGTCTAAATTTCATATCAACTTGGCAGGGGTCGGGGGAAGAGTTTGAAAGGAAAATGTTATCAAATGCTTTAGTCCTAATTGCCGTGTATTAATTTTCTCTATTTCTCCCCATTTGTGTTTTTTTTTCCCCATAGAAGAAAAATTCAAAGTGGAGACAAGAACCATTGCTGCTGACTTTGCATCAGAAGATATTTATGATAAAATTAAAACAGGCTTGGCTGGTCTTGAAATTGGCGTCTTAGGTTTGTATTTTTGCCGCACTTACAGATTCTTCTTGTATTATTATTTAACTTTTACTATAACTTTACATTTTTTCTTTGGATGTTAGATGTTTAGTAGTAAAATGACTAGTGAGAAGAAAATTGTCCTATTGATCATTAATGATCATCTAACTGATCATTAGATGATATTAATCTATATATGATTAAATCTTTGTGTTTTTAGTTATATCTTAATGATGTACAATTTTGGGAATTTTCCCTTCCTGCTTCATTTTCAATCTCATTCTCTCTGTATATGTTACAGTCATCCCTCAGTATCCATAGGGGATTGGTTCCAGGACCCCCTGCTGATACCAAAATCCACAGATGCTCAAGGCCCTTATAAAAAATGATACAGTATTTGCACATAACTTATGTACATCCTCCTGAGTACTTTAAATCATCTCTAGATTACTTATAATACCTAATACAATGCCTACACATCACTTCATTTATGTGGATTTAATGTAGTACTACGTGTGTGACAAAGTTTTGCTTTTTGGAACTGTGGAATTTTTTTTTCCCCAAATATTTTCAGTCTACACTTGGTTGAATCCTTTAAGGTGGATGATGTCTATCCATTTACAGTTGAGGAAATGAAGGCTTTGAAAAGTGTTCTCAGCCTTTTGTTCATTTTTGCTCCCTTGAGAAACCTTTTTAGATATTTCTGCCGATATAACCCCTCATGAAATTTTAATACCACAGAAAAACACTATATTTGATTAAGTACTTTACTGTATATATATCTATGATTTATGAAAAAAAGAATAAAATCCCCCTACACCACCACCAGATTTTGTCCCCTTTGTGGAGATTTGCCCTGGTTGAAAATACATAGTTTAGAGAGGTTAGTGATTTGCCTAAGGTCACATAAAGATTGAGTAGCGCAACTGGAATTCAGTCTTATATTTGTTTTTTCTAAGTCTATGACTCTCTTTTGTTATACCTCAGCTACCTTGCTCTTATTACCAAGAACAGATGCATTTACTGAGATAATGGGAGTATTGAACTTTGTAAGAGAAAAGATTCACCAGAAGATTTTACGGGGAAAAAAGGGCTTTGATAAGTTTCCCACCATTCATTGAGTCATTTCTAGAAAGAGATAGGGTAGTTAGTTCAGAAAAACTTCACATTCTCATTAAATCTCTTTATCCTACTCCCTAAAATGGTGGGAAACTGCTAATTTTCATTGTTTTCTTTATTGGGCTATAAAATGAAGAGAAATTTTTTTTAATACTTCCTAACATTTCTTTGGCATAATGACCCCACCTCCCTTCCTCATACTATAAAAGAATGGTTTGTGTGTTTTTTTTAAAGAGATAGTGACTTCTCTCCATTGCCTAGACTGGAGTGTAGTGGCCCAATCATAGCTCACTGTAACCTTGACCTCCTGGGCTCAAGTGATCCTCTCACCTCAGCCTCCCAAGTAGCTGGGACTATAAGCATGAGCTACTATGCCCAACTGGTTTTTATTTTTTGTAGAGAGGGGTTCTTGCTATGTTGTCCAGGCTGGTCTCAAACTCTTGGCCTCAAGCAATCCTCCAGCCTAGGCCTCCCAAAGTGCTAGGAATATAGGCATGAGCCACCATGTCTGGTAAGAATGGTCTCTTATGTAATTTCTAGATAAGGCAATTTTAAAAAATCACTTGAACAAGTATAGCCCTAATAGTACCCTTGGATGTGGATTTAACCTTGGTTTTGACATGCTATTCTTTCTCAGCTCCTGTCTGGTCCATATTATACATCACCATGCCGCATACTCCCATACTACTAATCCCTCACTTAGCACCAGTAGACAGAACATGAATGAAAATACAGGTCTAGTTTTTGCCTTTGTGTCTACACATTCTTCTGTAAAGACATATATTGCTGAGAGTCTTTCAAAGTTTCTCTTCCTTAGCCTAGATCTGGAATCCATAAAGTACCACTGACAACTGCATAAATCTTGACTTTTTTAAACTTTTAAATCAGCAGCTGTAACTTACTAGCCAGTATTGACACTTCCATGGTCCATCTTAACCTGTTTTCAGTCTAGTGATGAACTAGGGAAGGAAGGCTGGCTTAGGCAGGAGGTTGGATGGAGAATCCCTAATGAGAGGAGACTGGAAGAAAGTCTTATTGTCTAGAACTTGTGTTCTTGGAGAATGACTTACCTTCAGAAGTAGTTCAGTTCATCACAGTTGTCCTTAGTTTTTCATAAATTTTAGCTGCTTCTTGCTAGGTGATCATGAAATGTAGTTGCCATGGGACTGTGGCATTGACAATGGAAAATATTGAGTATTGGGTTGCTGAAGGGCTGGAGGTTTATATATGGCACTCTTTTAGCTGTTCATTCTTGCCCCAGTGTATGGAAAAGCTTCACTTTGAGTTTGGGCATGATAGATAGATAGATCTGTTAACGATGAGAGTATAGGACACATGATCCCCAAGCACTTTTTCCCAGTTTCTCGAGTCCTAGAACTTGTGTCAATACATAGCACTGATATTTAGACAGAAGGACTGATGTTTTCGCTGGCCTTGTATGCTAAACGAACCATTGTTTTTGTGGTCCAGCTCCTTAGTAAGTTGCTGTGAGTTAGTGATTTATACTCCTCTTCATTCATTTATTTAATTAATTCAACAATCAATGAACTGGAGAAACAACAATGAACAAGAAAGCTATCCACGAAATAGGAAAGGCAACATTGAACAAAATAGTTATCTGTGGGTTAAATGCTTTGAGAAGGAAAGGGCAGGGTGTAATAAGAGTATAAGGGAAAAGAGAGTTGATACAGGGAGAAGTAATGACTTGGCCTAGCCAGTGGGGTATCCAAAAGGAAGATTCTAGAAATATTTAGGAAGTAGGTAAATCAGGATTTTATGAGAGATTGCAAGTGTGATGAAGAAGAGAGAACTCATGGATTCATGGATGACTTTCAGGTTTCTGGTTTAAGCATCTGCACCAATATTGCCATGATTGAAATGGGGAATCCTTGAGGAGGAGCCTTTTGTGGGGAGTGAGGATCACTTAAGTTTGGGGTTCCCTGAGGATGTCCAAGTGGGATTGCTAACTTAATAGTTGGATATATAGGTCTAGATTTCAGTACAGCTCTGGACTGGAGATACAGTCTGGAGATTAGCCATCCATGAGTAGTGATCTCATTGAATCAGTGAGACTGGAGGTGATCCAAGGAGAATGTACAGAATATAAAGAGAAACTGAAGATAGAGCTCCTTTGAGTTCCTTCTCTCCCATCAGAGGCTGCCTGGAGTATATAGGGTCAAGGAAAGATAGTTTTTTGCATGAGTTCAGCATGTCCAATAGAAATATTACACAAGCTACATATGTAATTTTAAATTTTCTAATAGTCTCATTTTTTAAAGATTAAAAAGAAACAAGTGAAGTTAATTTTAATTATTTCATTTTAACCCACCATATCCAAAATATTATCATTTCAACATGCAATCAATATAAAAGATTTTTGAAATACTTTGCATTCTTTTTTCATACTAAGTCTTCGAAATCTAGTGTATATTTTACAGTTAGAGAAAATCTCAATTC